CTCATGTGCAAACATCACATTATCTCTGTAGTGTGAGAAGCTGGAAGAGTAAATAAGATCCAAAATGTACAATAGCTATTATAAAATGAGAAGAAACTGTCCAAAAGTAAAAAGAAACTGGAATGAGGGAAAGGAGAAAAGAAGGAAAAGAAAAAATATATATACAAGATAGTTCAGATAGTTATACTACTAATTTCTCTGAGTTCATTGAAAAGGTTTGTGCTAATATTGTTTGGGCAATAAATGTGTATATCTTGTACTCTGAGTAATTTAAAGATAACTGTATGCAATTTGTTAACCATTGTTACTCTCCTGTTGTGAATTTTTTTTTCTCGTTAAAAGAAAACAAAATTTCTGTGAGGGAAAAATAAATAAAAGCCAATGAGAAATACTACTTCTTTCCTGGTGAAAATATCAAAATGAATGAAGAAATCTCTTAGCTTCATTAAAAACACATGAATTAAAACTTAAACCTTAGGTACTGGTATCAGGGCAGGAAGAATGCAAATATTATTCACACTAACTGGGTTATATCTTTTGTATGATGTCTAGTTTCTTGGGCCATATGACAGGGATATTTTCATATATGTAATATATTTTATCATAATTGTTGAAATCTGTTGTTTGGATTTAATAGGGGAATTGCTGGAAGCCATCAAGCGTGACTTTGGTTCCTTTGACAAATTTAAGGAAAAGCTGACAGCTGTGTCCGTTGGTGTCCAAGGCTCTGGGTGGGGCTGGCTTGGTTTCAATAAGGAGCAGGCGCGCCTACAGATTGCTGCCTGTTCCAACCAGGATCCACTGCAAGGAACGACAGGTTAGATTTGAAAATTGTTACTCATTTTATTTAGCTAGAAGTAAGAAACACTAGCAGTGTTTAAACTTATCACAAACATGTAATTACCTTAAGCACATCTTAATAGATAATACCCACAGTCTTGTCTAAGTAAAATGCTTTAAAAGTCCTTGATGTTTTGTAATATAAGCACAGATAATGGTGTAGATACAGTAACAGAAGTGTTTTAGGCATACAGTCTACTTCTCTGCAGAGAATTAGCTAACATCAGTTTAAATATTTCTGCCCTAAAAACCCCCAAAACCAAAAAGCAATGAAAGCTAGATACACAAGAGCAAGGAAAAGTAATAGAAGCTGAGCCTAACTTCAGCACTTAATATTCTTCCGCTCTTTGCTGAGTTCTTGTGACTAAACTGCTATTAGAACTCACTTTCCAGACTTCTGCCTTTCTGGGGGGCCTTTGGAGTATGAAACAATTGGGCTTGGAAATTCCAGGTCAGGCTCAGCAAATCCTGTTTTTCTGTTGAGCCTTAGAAGCTCATTATAAAATGTCACTGAACTGTGTAGGAACTAGAGTAAAATGTTACAGGCAGTTAGTTGGGCCACTGATCTCTGATATAAATTTAAAGGAACACCTTGTCATTGGGCAATAGCAGTTCTCTGCCACCCTTCCCACCTCTATCCATGACTTAAGATTCTTGCATATACAACTCATTTCCCTGTATATACTCCGTTTGCTGGAAGTTGAACAGTCCTTTTGGGAAAGTGAGATGCCATAAGAATCTGTAAAATATTTATGAGCACCAACTGCTATACAGAGACATATCTATCTCTCACAGTACCTGATGGAAAGACTGATTCCTGTGGGAATCCCAGCTATACTTCTTTGTCTGCCACTTGGAGAAAGTCCACTGGAATGACAAATCATAACTTTTAATGTGGGAAAAATTATTCAAATACTTTATTAGTAATAAATTATTGGTGATATCCATCACAATTTTTGTAGACATGTGGTTGAGAATTGTTTGCTTTTTTTTTTTTTTTGGTTTTTCTCTGGTACCAGGAACCGAACTCACGGCCTTGCGCTTGCCAGGCAGGCGCTTTGCCGCTGAGCTAAATCCCCAGCCCCGAGAGAATTGTTTTCGTAGGAGAATTTGAGAGTTTTAAAAATAGTTTTATAGGTACAGCTACATTTTTCATTTATACTATTGAATTTATGAAGACAGTGTGTCATTCTCTTTAGTCCTATGTAGCTTTCCTTGTTACCATTCTTTTTGTTGGTATCTAATAAGTGGTGCATGTGCTCTAAAAAATGAGCCTTGAGGAGCAGAGTAGATTCCTTTTGGAGGAGACACTCAAGGCCTCAGCCACCCTACAGATAGCACACCTTTACTGGGGCCACGGAAGCCAGTGAGGCCTCTGGGGCAGAGTGGATGGTGGAGATTGGCTCTTGGTTTATTCTGTTGCTATTTGAAGAACCACTGTTAAAATATTGCAGTGATTTTCCTGAGTCTCTTAAATATTTTTACTAGCTATCACATTTTTTTCCAAAGTAAAGCTTAGATTTCTTTATAGGAATATTGTTAAGCAAATTTGCTGTTACATAAGAAATAGAGTTTGTTATAAAGGGTGATTTTGTGTGTAAGGAATAGTAAAAGTTTTAAATCCAGAAGCTGAAATGTTTTAGATGGAAATTTAAAGTTTTTACTGTTTTCTTTTTTCTGATAGGTCTTATTCCGCTGCTGGGGATTGATGTATGGGAACATGCTTATTACCTTCAGTATAAAAATGTTCGACCTGATTATCTAAAAGCTATTTGGAATGTAATCAACTGGGAGAATGTAACTGAAAGATATATGGCTTGTAAAAAGTAAATCATTACCATTATCAGTATACTGAGTGTGTTAAGCTCTTTATGACTATTATGACTATTTTTGTAATAGCTGACAGTACTGCAATATACTAGTAAGCTGCTATATTATAGCATTTATTGATGTTGCTTATTCACATATTTGATAATGTAATGTTATGAATAATTCCTTATTTTTAAATCTTATTAGGCAACTTTGAAAATAGTACTTTGTGTGATTTAGTCTTGATTAAACTTTTTTTTAAGAGAGCTGAAGTTGCTAGTTTATTATGCCACTATAAAATCTTCAGAAATATTCCAGACAGTTTTGGGGTCCGTAGGGAAGCCTTTGTAATCCTGTTCTGTTGCAGTTACAGAAAATCTAGTCTTTCCCACAGTCGCTTAAAAATACAATAGAAAACTGAGTATTTACCTGTTCTGTTGAGAAGTGCCCTTTTTGTAGGTAATTTTCTGTCTGTTGGTACTTCTGGTAGATATCACCAAGTGGGTCTTAATATGGTCACATGTCCACACAGTTAATGCTATTTTTATTATTCAAAAACGCAAAACTTGTGGCTGGGAATGTAGCTCATGGGAAAAGCTCTTTGCTTGGTACACAGCCTTCGATTTGATCCTCAGCACTGTAGATAAACAAACTTCTGTAAAAAACCCATGTAACTTGATTGTTAATTGAGAACTGCTTTATTATGAGATAATTATGCATTTGGGTGTTCTTGGAGGCAGAAATACAAGAATTTCATGTGAATTTTGTCCTTAAGTAAAGAAATATGTGTTGTGTAAAACTGCTCAAGAGGAACAAATGAGGGCCTGATAATTAGTAACATCAGTAGTGGGGACTGGACCACAGGGCGTTCTTCTGGGCACTTCTGCCCTCAGGGTCATTATTGTCATCTGTCTCATGAAAAGTGAGCCTGGGCCACATACCCCCATGCCAGTACAGGCAGGTGTCTTATCTCTGGAGAACATCAGCAGTGTGTGTCTCTCAGAACATTTATTTTCAAAGATATGTTCTTGACTTATTCTGTCCTTTGTGCTTTTTTATTTTGTTTTCTTTTAAAGAACTTATAGCCACTATAGAAGCTTTACACTGTTTTTCAATAAAGGAAAAATGATGCCTATGATACAGTAATAGCCTTTCATCTTGTGTTCCTTTGCAGTTTCTACAGACATTGCTGTACACTGCTCCAATCTAATAAGGGTTCTTTTTGTATTTGGCTTAACATTGTCCTGCATTTCTCATGTTGACACATCACTGAAGCCCATCTGACACGATATTCTCCCTGACTGTGGCCCCACAGTGATGAGACCAGGCATTCATGAGCGGAAACCTTTAAAACCATGAACCAAAATAGTCCTTTAAGCTGTTTTTCTGAGGTATTTTGTCACAGCAAATGGAAAGCTAACTAACATATTTGGTTTGGTTCTGGAGTCTCAACAGATCAAACAGGGTTGTGGGCTTTGGGAGGAAATTTAGATTTGCACTAAGTGTAGTAGAAGAAGCAAGTAAATCCCCTGAGGGACTTACGAATGGTGCTTCCTTGTGCAAGCCACTATAAGCGATTGTGTGAAATATTCAATCAAAAGAGAAGAGTTCCTTTCTTTTTTTTTTTTTTTATTTTAGAAATAAAAGGAGGAAAATACTAACAGACCGACAACATTTTACAAAATAGCATAGGATCAGTACAGACATTACAGAGTTACAAACAGAGTGGTAGGGAATTAACAATGCTTATTGTATTACATATTGATATCTACAATGTAG